ATGCAGACACAGTGAAAAACATGGAGTGGGAGACAATTATTTGGTTGGGTTGATATATAAAAAACTAAAAAAAAAAAAAAAAAAAAAAAAAAAAAAAAAAAAAAAAAATATCATCCCACTCGACCAAACCTCTTATCCTCTCCCACTCCACACAAAAATCTTATCCCTCTCACTCGACATTTCTCTCCATCACTCGATTTTTTTTTCTCTCTCACTCGATCTTCATCTCCTCATCATCCACTCGACCGGCGCTTGACTCACTCGACGGAGGAATCACCGCCACTCGTCCTCTCCACTTGTCTTCTCCAGTCGATTTTACACCACGTGACTCGACGAGTCAAGCTCCCAAGCTTCACTCGACCTCAATCACCACCGCCTCACGCGACTCGTGCTCACCATTGTTTCACTCGACGCAGGTCTCCGTCATCATCGCTCGACCCGACAAACCCGTCCTCCAAAGCTCACACGACCGGCAACGCATCTCTCACTCGACGGAAGCTTCACCACTCGATTCGGATCCCTCAACCGGCTACTCGACCTCCATCACCGTTGTGGTTCTTGTTAAAGGCTCCACCCGACCGGTTGTTCTTTGCTCGATCCCACTCGACTCACCGGATTCCCATTTGAGCTGCCCATGTCTTTTACTCACTCGACGCGCTAAACACTCACCCGACGGAGCAAGCTTCCACGCGACCACGCGCACACCACTCGACCGTCGTCACCTCTTTTACTCGATGGATTCCACTCTCTCGACCTTTACTCGACTCGTCGGATTTCAGCCCACTTGACCGGCGCGTATCGCTCACTCGACCGGCGGTTACTAGGAGCTCACTTAGTATACACTCGACGGTGAAGATCTTTACTCGCCCAGCGAAGCTCACGCGCCACATCCACTCGACTAGTGGATAGTTCTCCGACAGATACTCGGATTTTGCTTCACGCGATCATACCATCTCCACCACTCACTCGACGCGCTTTTGCCATGGATAGCTCACTCGACCGAGAAGTGCAAAAGTGATAAATTTGCTAAGTGTTACTTCCCTTTGCATCTCTCTATATAGATTGGCTATTTTATCTTGATATTTGGTACACTAACAAGCTAATTTTAAGCTTTAAGTTTCAACTGTTTCAGTTTCACAATGTCAAGAGA